CTGATTTCTTTAACAAAGAGTGATGACAACAGTGGAGAACAACAACAACAACAGACAGTCATAAAATAGGCATACAAATTTAAGTTTCTATTTATTTTATTTTTTAACAAATAGAAACCAAATAACTCTTAATGTGTGGATGAAATATAAAGCAATAAAAATAAAATTTACTGGTACATAATTGTAAAAATTCTGAAATTGAAGACCAAAGCAAAGAAAATTAATTTAATTCTCATCAAATAGTCAGCTGCTGTTATAGCTAAAAAAAAAAAAAGTAAAACCCATGTCATCAAATCTGCCTCTGTGCTGTAAACATCCATGAAGTAATGATCACTTTAACCTGCAGAACAACAATATGTTTTTAATCAACACTTTTTGTTCAACTGGATCGTTTTATTTTATATTTTATTGAAGTTAATCTCATTTAGCTGTGGTGGTGACTGGTCGCGTTAACTCCAAATGTTTATCAGTCTTAGATTTACACTCGTTGATTATTAACGAGAGTTTCATCAAAGTTGTTAAGGAGATATTTTGCTGACAGAGTACCACGTGTGCTGTTCAGAGAGTGTGCTGAGTGACTTTCATTTACCACCAAATCAAATACTAGCACCTAATTTAAGATTCACTGAATTAATGCAGTTTTTGTGATTTTAAAGGCCAGTTTCAGACATCTTAGAATTAGATTAGCTCAAAAAGTTAATCAGATGTACATCAAAGTATTTATTTTCCTGAAATAATAATTAAAATCTGTCCTGTGGCTCTTCAGATATTTTGTTACAAAACAGACAAAGTTATAAGATTCATAAAACGGCAAATTTTGAATGTTTGAAAAACATATATTTAGTCCTTTAAACATATGCTGCGGATGACTCTCAGATTAGATTTTAGGTCCATAGCTGTAATCTTCCATGATTTATGAGCCTTTAGCTGTGGCGGCCATCTTGAAAGATGTTAACTCCAAAAATTTATTCAGTTGTAGATTTCCATGCAATAATTACTTATCAACATTTTCTTTGTAATTTGTCCAGTGATTCTCGAGATATTTTGCTAACAAGCGCGCTCGCAGGCGGTTTATAAAGACGAGTTCAGGCCGCAGTTCCAGCGGTGACCACCAGAGGGCAGACGAGGAGCAGAGGTGGCGCTGTGCTGCCCTCTGGTGGTCACCGCTGGAACTGCAGGTGGAACTGGGTGGATTTATTACGTTCACAGTAAATCATGAACTGACAACAGACATTCGTTTAATTTAATACATAATTCAACAACAAAACACAAAAACTGATGCTTTTATTCTTCTTGTATTCAGTTTGTTAGCAGGAGGAGGAAAATGCAAAGGTTCAAAATACTTTTCATCGTTTTCATCACGATAGACTCTCGAGAAAGTGACTGTGGGTCACATTCAGACCAAGTTAGACCTTAAGACCTTAGCCAACACAGAAACAGCTCCAACTCAGCCAATTACAGACTTGAAGATGAAATCTGGCGTGGTTATCTGCTGCTGTCTTGAATTTCCCATCCGTGGGACAATAAAGGCTGTTTCTATTCTATTCTATTAAGCCGAGGGTCATTCACAACACACAGTTTGAGTCAGCCCTATATCACATTATTCATTCAGCGTTTATTTCACAGGTTAGTCTCATTGAGCCACGAGGACTCATTTACAAGAGGCCACTGTAAGGATTTACCCATTTTAGGAAATAATTACTGGATGTTCATCTACAACTGATGAACTTTGAGAGTCATCTTGTTTCAAGATGGCTGCCACAGGTAATCCACCTTCACCTACACAGGATTGTAATGTAAACTGATCCAGTTTAAATGGTGAGGGTGTGACTCCCTCTGAAGTTTGAGTATAAATATTAGATACTCTTTAACCATAAATCTGTTGATTTATATTTAAAAGTGATGTGAACGATGAGCAGCTGAATGAGTTTAAACATGAAGAGTTGTTGGATCAGACACAAGCTCAGATTCTGGTGCTGCTGATTTAAATGTTTTAACAGAGGGTAATGGGGAGCATGGTGGTGAAGTGGTTAGAGTGGAAAGGTTTCCAGTTCTGTTCCCAGCCTTTCAGTGTGGAGTACTCCGGTTTCCTCCCACAGACCAAGAACATGCATGTTAGGCGGATTAGTAACTCTAAAATGTCCCTAAAGGTGTGAGTGGTTTTGTCTTCATATGTCCCTGTGATGGACAGGAGACATGTCCAAGGTGCCCCCCGCCTCTTCAGCAGTGACTGCTGGACATGGACACCAGCAGACCAGAAAGTAGAAGTAGAAAATGGATGGATGGAAATGATAATAAAGTGAAAGGATGTTTGAATGTTTTCATTAAATGAAATAATCTCTCCTGCAGGACCAACGTTGACCAGCAGGTGGCAGCACAACAAAAGAGTTTTTACCTTTTTTTTTTTCCATTCAATCTTTATTTAAACAGGTTAGTCTCACTGAGCCTCGATGACTCATTTACAACCCTCAGTGGTGGATTGAATATTTACTGGATTTATGCTGATAAATGCTTTAAATCATGCCAAAGAGTAGGAACTGATCGCTTGACTGATTAAACTGTTTTTTTCTTTAATCTTCAAATGCAGAATTTTAGCATTTAAAAGACACTTTACTGAACTAAAACTGTTGATTTGATTAAGTCTGCCTGTCCGATATTTTTACAGTATTTAAAATGTTACTAAGTAATGATCACGTGGAGCAGCAGTGCCGGCAGCCACCACCAGAGGGCAGTAGAACAGAGTTTCTCCACGCTGCCCTCTGCTGGACAGTGGTGGGACTGCACAGCTGTGATTTTTATACAAGGGGTATAAATTGTATATTTTGGTTAAATGTTAACAAATGCTTTGTATCCTGTCAGTGCTGGTGATACAAGAAGAAACTGATTATTTGATCGGAATTAAACTGATTTATTTCATTTAATTTTAAGTCCATTCTCCTGAACAGTGGCTGCATTTTTATTTTACTTACTGCTTTTCTTCATTTAAAGCCGCGCGTCACAAAGAGGAAAATACATTTTTAAGTTTTTATTTTTAAGCCGGTTAAGTTTTCCTGACGGTGACTGTTGTTAGTGCTCTTTGGATTCGTTGAGTGGCTCGTGTATCTATTTATGAGGGAAATAAGAAGTGGACTCAAAAGTTGTTACAAATCTGAAACATTATTATTGAACCTTAATATTCAGGATGATTAAAGTTAATATTAAGGACATGTAAAATGCCCTGTTAAAATATGTGATTTTATTTTGATTTATAGTGAATATATATATTTTCTTGCAGGGAATTGTGATGCTGTCATACCATAAATGACCACCGGGTGGCGTCGTTTTACCGAGTTCAAATCCTGGATTTAATTTGGACAGGAACAAACTTTAGGCTTGAGATTTGAGTTTACATACTGTATTAATAATTTAAGACAATATTTAATACAGAAACTGTAGGGTCAGTCTTTAAAATAGGATCTAAACTGATTTTTTTTTTTCCAAATAAAAAATAAAAAAGTTTAAATCTTTGATTTATAGTCTGGGTTTGTGATTGATGCAACTCCTCAGTACTTTTACAGACTTAAAATAATTATTTGCACGCGTCCATATTAAAGAAAAGCACAACTAAACATATATGAAAGCATCATTTTGTTAATTGTTAATTAAATGGTTAAAAATTGGGCTTAGATGTTCCAGTTTTTCATAGTTTTTATCATCTAACACAAATAACTTGTTTTTAACAAGCACAGGAGCAGTTTGTGATAAATTAGTCTTTAGATAACAGGCCCAATATTCATTGAAGGAATGCATGTCACCCTCAGGCCAGTAATTTATAAAATAAATAATTGTACGGTGAGGACAGACGCTACAGACGTGTGATCAGGTTAGAGAACGAGCTAAGGATCATTTTCAGCTACTACCACAACTCATTTTAGCTCAGTAAAACTGAGTCGAGCCGTGTTTGTGTTTCCAATGGTCTGTGAATTGTAGCAGCCATCTTGAATTGAGCTACTCCAAAAGTCAATATTTTGTAGATGTTTGGTCGATGTTTACCGTCTGAGAGTTTCACTCAAATCCCATTTATTTGTGGGATAATGTTTCCATCCACACAAACACACAGTCGTGGACAAAAACATGATCGCCCTCCTTCACCTGCAACAGCGGGCGATGGTAAAGAGCTGTCTCAGAAGGTGAGTTTCAGGTGGGAAGGTTTGTTTAAAGAGTTTATCACCCACAGGTGGGCAACAGTGTTTTTGCTCATGTCTGTCTTTAAGAAAGATATTTCTGGAACCACCAGAGGGAATTTAATGAAACTTCAGAAATATGTCTACAGCTTAAGATGGCCTCTGCAGCTAATCTTTATTAGGCAGGACAGAGCTCAGACAGTATTGAGCTGAAACTAGGTGTGGTAGTAGCTGAGAGTCATCCCGACACGTTCATGTCAAAGGTTTGTCCTCATGTGACGTCATGAGCCAGTAAAAAGTTCAATTTTTAATTCATTATAATATCCAAATATCCTTATTTTGCATTTTTATTTATACAAATATCACTTATATTTTATAAAAATTTTATTATTTTTACCCCTGACTGTGATGTCATATCAAAAAGTTATTTTTAGCATTGATCGAATGAAAATGCTCATTTTAGAGCACAAAATTAATTAATTCGGCTTTTTATTGACCTCGTTGCTGTGAAACTCTCCATTTTACCTAAAATATGTGTTTGGAGGGAAGTTGTTTGTACGTTTTATGTATTTTTATAACAAAATGTATAATTATTTTTGTTTAATTTTAACTCCAGCGGTGGCTAAACTCCGCCCTCGTGTTCAGTTTCAGTCGGAAATACGTCACGATACAGAAGCAAAAAGATGCTCAAACCCCCCCCGAAGTGTGACTTTAAAGTGTGGCAAAGTTTAGGCCACACCAGGATCCTGAACCATAAAAATAATAAAAAATAAACCTTTTTTTTTTTTTTTTTTTAAACCCTCCTCTTCGTGGTGCGTTTGTTTGTGTGTCGGCGCGTCCCGGCGGTGTAACCGGAGAGAGAGGGGCCTCCTCGCTGAGAGGAATGCAGGACTGCAATGGAGCACAATGCAATACAGGTAAAGGCCGATATCATTTCCAGAAAAATAATTAAAAACGCCGGCTTCTGCCGCTTCCACACGCCGCCTTCGTCGCCCCGTGGTCGGGGGAATATTTCCGCCGCTCGTCGCCGAGAATTCGAGTCCAAATCTGCGAGTAGTTTCATTCAGTTCAGCCGTGTCGTATTGATTGTTCCCCCGGATCAACCGAGAGTCGCTCCGACTGCAATTACAACTTTATTCAGCCAGGCTCAACTTTGTTTTCTGCCCCCCTCCTCTTAAAAAAATAAAATTAAACGGTTGATATTTGTTGGTTGGAGCCGGAGGGGGAGGCGAACGGTCGGCCACATCCGAGCTGGCGCGGCGGTTGATATCTCAGCGGTTAAATTCAGTTTAATATCGATATTTTGTCGCGTTAATGATTAATTTCTTTGTGGTTTTTTGTGTGTTTCGTGTCGACAGGCTCCTTCTCCCCCCTCCCGGCTACCAACCCCCACCCGCAGCGCCACATTAGCTCAAATAAAATTAAATTTCTGCCCCTTCGCCCGCCTGAAAAAAAATATTAATCAGGAAACTTTTGGGCTCGTGCTCATTTTTTTAGCAGCGTAGAAGAAGAAAAGAAGAAGAAGAAGAAGAAGAAGCTAGTTTGCCGCGTCGCCATGATTCTCCATGTTTGAAAATATAATTTTAATCCCACCGACGTGATATTTTAATAAAGATTCATTTGTTTCTCCTTTTCTCGACGTCATCGAGGTGGAGCAGCAGTTGTTGCTCATAATAGGAAGCATATTGACATTATTATCAAATCCTCCCCGACATTTTGTGTCCAACTGTTTGAGCAGGAATGCAGTTAATATTTGGATCTGAGGAGGAATGGGCACTTTTTCTGGACTTGAGCCTTTTTAAGCGACAAAATATGAGCTGCTACTAAAAAAAACTCTTTATTTAGACATAATGTGTTGTGGGGGGGTGTTTAATATGCCATTCCTGGCTGCATATTTTCATGGAATCTCTGTAAATAATATTTTTATTTTGCTGCAGTGTTTATTTTTATTATAAATATTGTTTCCCCACCAGAGGTGAACTTGTGAGCTTTTTGAACAACAGGATATAACCAAGGTCAATAGTGTGGGCTGTCTTTTATTTATTATTTTATTTATTTGTTTGTTGTGCAAGACAGAGGAGACATTTTATTATTAATATTCATGAATTTTTTTCTTCTTCCTCTTCCTCCCTTTACTGAAAACTGTTTTAAAAAAATCTCACTGCATTATTCTCAGAAATATCACGAGAACTGACGCAGGCTTGGTGCAGATTAAGGGTTTCCATCTTAAATTCCTGCGTGTGTTCACATTTTAGACAGAGGGCTGCCTCTCACTGCTCAGCTGAAATGATGTGGCTCTTATTTTTCCTGCCTGCCACTAGTCTGGAGCAGAGCTTCGGCTGTCCCTCCCCCAGGCCCACAAAAACCATCCAGAGCAGGCTGAGGGATCCATACGACACCGCCATGCTGCGTAATAACACGCTCGCCGCCAGCCCCGTGATGGCATGCATCACCTTTTCTCACTGTAATTACACAAAAAGCTCGTTTCAGAGGCCGAGGTGCACGAGAAGGACCGAATGCTGCAAGAAGTCTCCGTTTTAGTCTCAATCAATCTGCACAAACAAAGTGCATTTACACAATATATTGGCAGCCATTTTAAAAAATATACCTTTAGGATTTGTTTTTGATTCGTGTTCATAAAACGTTCATCTGTTTTTGTTTTTTTTTGACTGAGAGCCAAGTTTGCACACATTTTGAAGACTTTAGCAAACCACAAGTGGCAGTTAATTAAATATTTTTTTGTAAAATGTTGGATCGGTTGTTCAGATGGACAGGAAGTGAATCAGCATTTAGTTTAATGAGTTATTGAGCGAAACTAGTGAGATAAAAAAAAAAACTGCCTCTCATCGCTGTCTTGTAAAATCTGAGCCAAGCTGTTGATGTAGTTCACGTTTATGACTTTAAATAATAGACTGGAGCCGGCAGAGATCCATACGACATAATAATATGTTCACTGCCCGCTTCATGATGGTATTTATCGAGTATTCTCACTATAATTAAGCTAAAAGCATCATTCGGACCAAGGGCAGCATGAAAATCACCTTGTTTTAGTCTTCGCCTGTTTCCTGGAAGGCAATCTGCAGAATATTTACAATTATTCAAAAAGAGTCGAGTGCCCAAGATAGATTAGCAGCCGTCTTCTGTCTCTGCTCTCTGTTTTATCAAGTTACAAGAATTAATCGATCACCTGCAGCCATGTTGAAAAATACACGAAGCTCGTTCTAAACTTTTCTGTTTAGTTTTTAAGCTCATTACTTTTGTCAGGAAAAGTTTTGAGTCATTCTCGAACTGTTCAGGAAGTGATTCGGCGTGAGATGAGCAAAAATAACTGAATTTAAACAGAAATAAGTGAATTTTAAACTGAAATAACTGAAATTAAACAGAAATAAGTGAATTTTAATCAGAAATAAGTGAATTTTAAACAGAAATAACTGAATTTTAAACAGAAATAACTGAATTTTAAACAGAAATAACTGAATTTAAACAGAAATAA